CCAGAGCTGCATCAAAAAAAACCCAAAACTCAATAATCTCCAGGTAAATTTAGGGCAATCTCTAAACTGGGCTCAGTTCAGCACCCGCTCAACACTTTTCTGCATTAGGGCTATTAACATATTGTACCTCACTCTCCTTTTGACCAAATCAAGTAAAGTATGCCCCCAAATCCTGTAAATTCAGCCCGCTTTCCCAGTGGATGCCTCTGGAGGGCTGATTCCTTTCCAGTCAGCAGAGCTGCTCTGAGCCATTCCCATGAGGAAACAGTGCTGGATGTGTTGTTCTTAGGAAACAGGACACAATAGGTAAAATTTTCCTTTATGACTGCTCTGTGTTGAACCGTCACACTTTATGCTTTCAGGCTGCAAATCTGAAGTGCTGTTTTCTTGGTGTTCTGCCTTCAGCAGTGCTGTGAACTTCACGCTTTGTTACGTGAGGCTGAGCTGCAAACCTGAGCCTAATCTGGCTATGCATTTTGCTGCGTCTGCACTTTCTGGGAAGTCAACTTGCAAATGCCTTTCTGAGAACCTCAGGGCAGCACTAGAACTGCAGATATCCAGATGTGGTAAATCTGAATAAAGATACCTTCTTTGCCAATTTACATGGACAAGAAATCTTGCCCCAGCATGATCTGCTTCCCCAAGCCAGGATTTCCAAAGTGGTTTAGATGAGTTTTAGGTTCACAAAGCTGTCACTCTTCCTGTGTGACTCCTTTTAGGCCCACACTTCTGCATATGAATTCCCATCTCCATAATCTTCTAAGTGCTGCTTAATGTTTCATGTCTACTTATGCAAATATCCAAGGAGGTGACACAGAACATGAAGTGAAAATTACAAGTACAATCCTTTCCGAGAATTCATGTTTTTGTTGAAACATTAAGTAATAATGGAGTGTCTTTAACTGTGGTTATACAAAGCGTGCCTGAGAAGCATCAGCCACCCAGGCAGCTCAAACATTAACTTCACAAGCAGTCAGATATCAAATTTAATTAAACAACCCTTTCCTACATCACTTTTCAGTTGAGCAACTATTTTACTTCTCCAAATTTCAGCTAAAACTCCTCCTAGAACAAAGTGGGTCTGTAAGACAGAAAGCAGTTCTTGCAAATAATTGTACTTGCAAATGTCTTCTCTGCCTCTTGACACAAAGAGCTCTCAATTCATTGAATTCCATGGAGGTCTTATTATCTGTGCTGTGAACCCATAATAATTGGAAACGAGACCTGTTGGGAGCCTGGAATATCAAAATCTCTGTTGTCTAATGCACAGTAGAATATTGCAAGCACATATTGTGGCCATGGGCACAGGGATGCATGAATTAATAACAGAAAACATGACTGGAAAGGGAAATATGGGGAAGATGGAACACTACCGGTTTGGATGGAGGAAGAGGGAGATGTCTGTGTTTCCATGGCAACAAGTGATAATTTGGCTTGGAAGCACAGAAGATGGGAAATACATGATGGGAAAGTGAAGAAAAATAAGTATTCGTTTTGGTTGTGCAAACACTCATGAGCATGACAGCACAGAGTTGGCTTTATTGCCAGATTCACAACTACCCCCAAAAGTATTTCAACTAGAACCATTTAGAAAAAATACAGTGGTTTTGATAAAGTGCTTTTCTTCTCTCTCCCTATTTTTTAAGTTACTTAGATGCCATTATTGATGTGTTTTGTACATTACATACATCAGCATAGCTTTCTTTCTAGACTACAGAGCTAGGTTGTGTTAGCTGTGAAACAAGCAATTTTCCAGGCAGTTATAAACTTTCAAATCCCTACAAATGTGCTGTAAAATATTGATCTTGAAAACAACTGCCTGTTTACTTGCTATTCTGATGCAGTCAGCAATTGAATAACAACTCTCTAATTTGCTTGTACATTATTCTCTTGTGCAGAAGGACAGGTCTACAGCCTGATGGTATATCTAGATTCGTAGCTGAGCAGGCAAGTCCCATTGCAATTATCAAAATGTTACCAGTACAGAAGTAATATGCTCTAATCTGCACAGGAAATGGCAAGATTGTACAGCAAGCATTCATGCCTATTGGAACCCAATTGCCTGATAGTACCTCATACTTGAGCACTTAGCAGTATGCTGTAAACTTCCAAGCTGTCACACCTACAGAGAGATTCAGCTGCACAAGTATCATTAAATGAATGAATGTGAAGACCTCAACAGCTCATCCAAGATTCTCATTCTTCTTCCCAGTGTGGTTGCGTTTCCATGCTGCTGTCAGTTTGTGCTCTGAGTGGGGACTCTGGGGTGGTCTGTGCTACACCCAGGAGGGGAGTAAACTCTTCAAAAGGGCTGACAACAGCAGGACTAGGGGAAATGGATCCAAGTTGAAGGAGGGAAGATTTAGGTTGGATGTTAGGGGGAAGTTCTTTACAAGGAGAGTGGTTAGGCCCTGGAACGGGCTGCCCAGGGAGGTTGTGGATGCCCCGTCCTTGGATGTGTTCCAAGGCCAGGTTGGACGGGGTCCTGGGCAACCTGATCTGAATGCGTGTGTTTGGTGGCCCTGCTAGGCAGGGGGGTTGGAACTACATGATCCTTGAGGTCCCTTCCAACCTGGGTGATTCTGTGATTCTGTGATTCTGTGCTGTAGGGAGTGAGAACTAGTCTGAAACTCCAGAGGGATGAGTCGAGGGCTTTGACTCCTCTGCCTTTGCCAGCACCAACTTTTAGGTTTGGGATTTTATTTTTCATTTTTTAACACATTCCTTGGTTTTCTTGGTGTAAATACTGCTTTTGTGCATCCGTCACCTGAGCTTGTTTGTATGGTCCCATTCTATTCTGATGGATGAGTTAAGAGCGAGCTGAGCTCTGCCAGTGCACATATGTGCTGGAAGTTGTGTGGGAGGTTGCTTCCAATCTGTTTTGCCATTCCTGGCTATTCCAGCAATCTCTGCACCGTCTGTTTTCCAAGATGCGCTGAACCTGACACGTTCCAGGAGGAAGCATCTAAATGAAAGACTGTCTTCCAGCACTTGGAACAAAGCTGGCTTTTAGCCATCCTCTACACATAACCATTGAGACTAATAGCCAGCACCACAGATTGCTTTGTGAGATCATAAGAGACAATACGGGGACTATCTTTACTGCCTTTACCTATAGAGAGTATATTTCCTAGCTTCTAGTCATGACCAGTCCTTTTCTTTACCAGCAGAGCAGTTTTCTTTTTAAGTCTTTGTACTGATAGTTGAATTATGACTCCTTTAAAATAATTGTCCGGGCTTATTATTAAGGAAGTAAAATGGCAAATGAAATGAAAAAGATAAAACCTGCAGTTATGCCACCTCAAGCTGCAATTCCATCAGACCTTTCAGATCAGAAGTCAGGTGGTGTTGAAGAGAGAGGTGACCTTCCAGGCATTTCAGCAGGATGAGGTGTGGCTGCCGATGAGATAATCTTATCCCTCTGAATACAGGTGGTGGTTCAGCTTGTTTTTAAAGGATGCAGTGGGATGGCAACCTTTTTGTTGGTGTATTTTAGAGCAGTAAAATTAGACACCTGATCTATGAAAACATTTCTTTTTGTCGGGCCAAAATACTAGACTTAACAGTATCAAAGTGCAACTTGAAATATTTCCCTGAAATGAATACATCAGGTCTACTTTCTCTCCTGAAATAATGGCTATTAAGGCACATCTGTGGCTTACTCTGGCTGTATCTCTTAGAATTTGATGTAAACTGTAACATGGGATTTTCTGCTTGCATAGGATCTATGTATTTTTTGTACAGGAGCTGTCATTTGCTGTCTTGCACAGTCACATTCCTTTGGGTGTAAGGTGCTGCCATGAAACAAATAAACAGTAGTTCCTAGGAGTCTGGAAGAAGGTGACTGCTGCATCCAACACTGCAGGGGCATCAGGACATTTCCCTTAATCTCATCTCTGTTCATTCAGCATCTCATTTCTTAGCAAGTGTGGTGGTGGCAGGGGTGTTTCCTCCCAAAAGCGCTGGTCTGTTAGGACTTGTGTTTTGATCCATATGTGTCTCTCATTCACTGTCCCCTGAGATAAAGTTTAATCAAATGCATACATATGAATGAGCTAGCCTTAAATATCAGTAAATGTTTCTTTCAGGAAAGACTTGAAATATTTAATATTTAATAAGCTTTGGAAATGAACTTCTGTTAGTGTTTCTCAGTTTGATTTGGCAGCGAGCAGCACTTGCTGTCCCAGTGTGGGCTGTTGCATTGCCTCAACGGTGGGCAGGCACAGCACACATTATTTAGCAATCTACTTTGTCTCATCTAAAAAATTCATGCTTCCAGATACCCAAATGTAGCTTTTAGGGGAAAAACAAAAACCAAAAAACCAACTGCACGCACACACACAGAAAAACAAATGATGCAGTCCCATAGTTACCTTCAGCCTTTGCTTTAGGCTACACGCCACAGTTACGCTGTTTCTCACCCAGCTCTACACTGTTGCCCTGGTTACTGATCAAAACCAGACCATTCCTGCCATCCCCTTAGCAGGACTTGCACAAACACGTTACCCATGTGTCAGCAATGCTGCTGAAGCTGCTCCTCCCTTAAAACAGAAACACAGCCACCAACACACTCAGGAGCTTCCCCTTCTTTGAGCATGCAGCTCAAAGAAGCAATGGCCCTTCGCCTTAAATTCATCTAGTGCTGGCCAGGCCAGATCAGATCAATACGTAATCAGATTACTGTTGTTACATTAAAGCACTAGCCTTCTTAGAGGACTTCAAAATCTTAATCACATCTGTGGAACCACAGGTAGATGTGGAGGTTTATAACTTCCATTTACTCATGTCTTGTTTTCCACTGAAATCAAGGGAATCCTGACTGAAGAGGCAGTTAAGATTTTTTCATGTGACTGACTGACAGCCGAAAATGTGATGTGTTAGATTTTGTGTTATTCACTGCTGGAAATGAGCTCAGGGGTGGGTGACAATTTCTCATCTGACGGTACTAAGAAGGCACTTCATTGAAAAGGGAGATTCCCCCCTATACTCAGATAACTTACTTTGAGAGCTTCATTTCAATTTGCTGCCGGATTTCCTGTCTTTCCTCATCTGTCCTCCTTGGGAAAATATTCCTGTCTTCCAGCTCCTGCTTGCTTGGTCTGTTTCGTAGTTTTACTGCCAACAGTTCTTTCTTGCATTTTCTTGGCAAAGTACCTGGGATATAGATTGTAAAGAAAGGCATTAGAGACAGTTCCTGGAGATGAAAAATGAACATGTAAAGAGTGGGAAACTGTGCAGAGATGGTGACTTGTAAGTTAGTGTGCAGTGAGCAGTAACACACAATCATATAAGCAGTGATACAACTGTGCTTGTGATTAGGGCTCTGACAATAAACTGCTTACAAATGCAGAAGGGTTGTAGTCCTCTGTTGTCTTTACTGGCCTTCATAAGCAAGCAATGGTTTCAGGAGAAAATTATTTTCAGCTGAGATATGACTTACACCTTTAGTTCAGAAATCAAAGGCTGTGCATCTTGTCTCAGACCTCTGAGCATCCCTATAGCTGAGAGCAAACCCTGTTCCATGAATCATTCAGTGGTTCCTTTGCAGAAAGATGGGATGGCTCAGCAACAAGTGGCCAGAATATGTGCATCTTCCCCTCTGGGTGACCAGGCATAAACAAGCAATAGGAAATGGTAACTGAGACAGTCAGAGTTGGTCACTCTATTTTTATTTTACATCTAATTATGGCTTTTTAATGTCATTGTTCTTTCAGACATAGAAAACCAGAACTGTGTTAGCAGACACTAACACTGTGTATAGCATTGCATGTAAGCCATTACATGTATCTGCATCCTGTCCAAGGTGACAATGCATCATAACAGAATTGCAAATCAATAGTATACTCTTCACTTTAGGCTTTTTCTTCTGAAGAGAGCAGGGGAAAATATTCCAAAGAATGAAAGAAAATAATATTTTGTGGCACTTTCCAGAATGTTAGCAAGTTAATTGGGCAACACAGAGCATAGATACTTATTGTGATTGCATGTCCTGTTCTGCTTACTGTTAAATGTACTAACACGTGTTTTCTATCAAAAAAAGATGATCTACAATATTGCCATTACAAAAGAGCTCTTCAAGGAAGACGTGCAGAATCTGTTTTCATGAGTTTACTGCTCTTGATGTGCAGAATGTTTGGTCCTTGATGCTGTCCTGCTGGTGACATTTGAAGCACTCTTTCACTGGAAGGAATCGCCTGAGCTTTGGTGTATCCGTATCTCTTGTTGTAGCTCTTCAGGCTTAAGCAGGCTAAGCAAGTGAAAACTGGACCACTGAGCTTATACAACCATTTTGCCGTGTTTGGAAAGGTATACCACAAAAAGACTGTGAACTCTAACTGCTTACAAAGAAATCAGTCTTCATTCTCAAATGCAGATTAGAAGCCTGAAGTGAAGTCTCTATCTGCTGAGGAGTGGATTGCTTACGGTGTGCAGAGAGGAAAATGGAAGTGCTATTAAAGCTCAGTGAGCTGCTGAGTCACCCTGGAAGGACTGCAGTCTTCTAGTAATTAATTACAGGTATATTGCAGCAAGTAAATTTACACCAGAGTCCTATATGCCTCTGCTGTGCTGTCCTGGCCATTCTATGGTCCAGTCCAGGACTTCAGCAGTCAGAAAATTCTCAGTGCAGTGTAGCACCAGTCAGATGGATGTTGCCAGAGTACTCAGGAGCTGCAGTTAAGTGTGCAACAGCTGTTGTATTGCACAGTGTGCAATAGCTGTTTTTTGGTTTGGTACCTTTTTACTTTAACAGTGGTTGTGTTTTGTGGCCCTTTTTAAAAAAAAAAGAGAAAAGAAAAAAAAAGGTTTCACCTTTTCTAAGAAAGGTCATCTCACTTATAAAGAAAATGACATTTAATTGGTATTTTTATTTGGCATTTGAGATAGGATTAAAGTGTGCTTTAAAAGGGATGCTCTGCAGGATGGCAAGATACTAAATCCTAAATAGATTCTCATTTTCAAATATTGGCAGTTTATTTGCCCAAGATCTGGGGGACTACATTATTATTATTGTCACTATTGATCTTGAATTTCTTCATGCAGGGAGGAAAAATCTATAGCACATCCACATATGCATCTTGGGAAAAGTGGGGCAGACAGTAGGCATGGAATCCCTGGGTAAGAAGGGGCAAGTCTCTAAATAGTTGCAATGACCTAAAATGAATGAGTTCAAAACCCTGACTGGAATCTGAAAGCTGTGCCCTTGTTTAGCACCTTCCTCTTAATGCTTTCGAAGTCTGTTGCCAGCTTTAATTAAATTAAACCATACAGCCCTCTGTGAAGAATTAGGTATGTGTTTAACAGATGGGTAAAAGAAGTTAAATTATTTGGCTGTTGCACACAGAGCATTCTGCTAAATGAGTATGTCTCCATCAGAAACACTTGGATTACTAAGCCACAGGCCTGGGACTCAGTCAAGCTTTTTTAAGCCTTCACCTCAATGGGAGTGGATGAAAAATGGGTGTTAGCAGTGCTCAACCCAAGCAGCACATGAAGGAACAGTTTCCCATTTATCCCTGAACGCGCTCTCATTTTCACCTGAAAGTTTTAAACAGGCACTAAGGGGAATTTGGTCATGCCAGGAGGTTGCTGCAGAGAGACTGCACATGCACACTAAGCCCAGTGTCTCTTGAACACGACAGACATGCTGCCCATGTGCTGGCCATCTGTGTGGTGGATTTACAGGCAGTTCAGTGCATTTTGGGTGCACTGAAAGCAAGATATGTATACACCATGCAGCACATGTGGATTTCTCTGTCCAGAACTCTATAGAAGAAAACAAGGGAGCTGTACATGTGCACACAACACTTTTTCTATATGTTTTTTAAATTGGAGAGGTGTGCTCTAAATGGTTATTCTCCTATTTATCAGTGACAGCTGAGGTATAAGCATGCAGAACTATTCCTGCTCTCACCAGGATGCTCTAAAACTACCTGCTATGTCATGCTATATTTCATGTTTGGATTATGGGAGAACAAGAGCTAGAATCATGGTGATTATTTGCTCAGACAAAGTCAGGGTTGTTTTCTGATGCCCTCATCCATTTGAAGGTCAGCTGAAACTTATGCTGTGCAGGTAGAAGACTGCATGCACCTTTTTGCAAGAAGTCAGTTTTTGAAGCTGAAGTGCAGACACTGAATTAAGCTATCTCAGTATGTTCTCTAGAAGCTTGTATTTTCAAAGTGAGGTGGAACAATGCAATACGTTGATTGAGACAAAGTAAAATGCAGCTGCTCTTCCAAGCTCTGACTACTCCCAGACTACTCTTCTGCAGACTTCAAAAGTCCACTACTCTGTGAAATTAAAAACACAAATCATAACTGAAAAATCTCAACTTTAACCCAAATCCCTCTGCAGTATTAAAGGAGTAGAGCGCATACAACCCACACAGGATAAGCTGTGCTCACTTCATCCAGATGTTAGGATTTCTAAAAGGCTTATGCTATAGCCACTCCCATGGTCCATATGCACTATGCACTCATTAATCTTTAGGGTATTTTACCAAATAAAAATGCAAGAGAGCTGGATTAAGCTGATCTCATAGTCCGAAGAGCTGCTTCCCATGCCTGACCAATTGGGTTAATTCCTGAAAAATAATACCTGCCAGACAAAATGAAAGGAGGGAGATGGTGTTACCCTCTTCAGGTACATCAGCAGGGTCTGTTCTCACCTTGACTGGCCTGCTGGTGGCCAGTTCTGTTATTTCACTTCCTGCAGAGATCCATTTTTGATGCTTCAGAATTGAACCAAATAAACCAAATCAAACAAACAAATAATAATTTAAAAAAAAACGGGGGGGGGGGGGAAAGAACAAAGGAAACAAAGCCCCAGTTTTCCCCATATCCATTGTCAACACCTTGAGACAAAATCCTTCCTAATCACTATCTCAGTGGAAATTGAAAATGCAAATATCTTTATCTATTTTCTTCCTAAGGATTAATTTCTCCTTGTCAGTATGATGTGTTCAATGCCAGTGTGTCCCATGACCAAGGCCAAATCTTGGTTATGCCTTGTTTCACAATTTATGGCAGCTCAGCTAGGACAACAAATGTTTTGAGAACTCATACCTTTTTCATGTTTGGTCTCTGCAGGTTCCCAACAAAAGTTCCTGTTTTCACTCAATTGAATCCTGACATTTATTTTCTTGTATGTTTACTGTTAATTCTATCAAGCAAAAGACAAATCCAAATACTGCACACTAATGCAAGGACCTTGTTTGCATCTGTTACCAGTTCAAAGCTACATGCAGGGTGGCAATGACTAATTTGGTGATGTGAAAACACAGTACAGTAATCATAAAGTAACTCTGGATTAACTGATAATTTATATCCTGATTTTCAAACCAGCCCAGATTTTTAAAGCTAAAAAGAACCTTTACTTTTAGTGAATTATTCTGGTGTTATTCCTGCCACTTCTGCATCTCTCATTCTTTCTAAAATGCAAATAGAGGCATTTGAATGAATGCTGACAGAAGCAGTGCCATTCAGTGTCAAGACCAGAAATGCCTTGCTTACATTCCAGCTTGCACCATATGAATGGGCAGCATCATATCTCTGAAGCTGCTTTCTTCTGGGTCATATAAGCACTCCACAGTAGGAATCCACAGTCTGAGCCACTGTGTTGCCTAGCTTGCCAAGTATTCATCCATTGCAGCCACCTCAGACACTTTGCAGCTGGAACCCTGTATGATTTGGATTTATGTTATAACTTTGGATTTGTGTTGTGTCACCACACAGAATAATTTATAGTGCTCAGTATTTTCTGTTGTTTTATAGAACATTACGTTAGGCTTCAATAGTATATAATGAAATAAGTGACTTTCCTTACCAGAAATAATGGAGTCATTCAAAACTTCCTCATCCTGATAAAAAACAGAGTCTTCCTTAAGCTCTGAGTTCATTATCATGTTTTCTTTGTTCTCATCTGACTCTTTAACTGAATTCCTCTTATTTTCTGTATCACTGCTGTAATTCAGGGAGTTCTCCTTTTCTTTGTTGCGCTCAATGCTAGACGTTCTGGATGGACGGACATCCACTCTTTTTTTTGGAGAGCCTTTGCTTTCTCTTCCATGGAAGCTGTGGGTGGAAGGTCGAGCCCAGTTTTTACAAAACACTGTTTTAGTGCCACAGTAGGAACTTATCACTATATGAAAATGACTAGCATGGCCTGTAGCTCATAAAAGCCAGGACAGAGAGTTCAGTATGGGAGAACAGGGGATGGCATCCTCAAGACTGCTGACAATAATGAGCACAGAGATCTAGGTTTGTCATAAGGTACAGAAGGGTAATAATAAGGTACAGAGACTAATGTATTTGTTTGATATATAATCACGTGCTGTGCTGTACTGATTAAAGGAAAACACCCAGGTGCATACCCCTAACATAAAACACACATGACATGAAGTATTCTCTTCATGATATTTTCTGATCATGACAAAGGGCATGAAAATAATACTGAATGAATCTCTTCTCCACAACAGTAGCTGTTATGGAGCTGAGAAATGTTACTAACTTCACTGGTTATTTCTGTCTTTCTCTAATACAGAGGAGGGTTCATAATGAAAACCAGATAAAGTACCCAACGTACACCCACAAAAGCATTTGTATTAGAAAATGTATACTCTATATGCTCGTGTATAAGCCAAGAGACATACTGAAATAGTAACATTTCTCAGATATATTTACAGGACAGTTTGCCTTAGTTACTCTACCTTGATATGTTTGGAAGAGTTTCTTTTGCAGTGGGCCAAAGATTATTAACTCTTTCTACCTGCTTGAAAACCTACCATGTTCAAAGCAGTGACCTCAAGAAGATGAAGGCGAGCTGCAGAAGTGGTTAAAATGCTAAAAAACAGGATAAGGGTGTTTACCAAGAGAAATGATTTAGTGGAATGATTCCTCATGCACCCATGTAGCCAAGAGGCTGCAGGTACCTGTCCTGCCGGTGTTTGGTGGCCAGAGCCCTGTGGAGTTCTTCAATGACTCTGCTGGGAGGTAAAGGCAGGTGGACAGCAGCCAGGTGAGGGGAGCCAGTCGGCGTTGTTACCTGTCCTCTGACGTGCGACTCGGAGCTTTTCTGGCCAGAGGAATGGAAGAGGCCAGCTTGTCCTGAGATTTGAGAGGAGCCAACAACTACATAATTCTTCAGGATAGTGGAAGGAGGAGACTTCATGGCTGGGTCATCTGTGTCGCTTCCTGCTGTCAAAATACAGGAGGGTAAAAGGTCATGCAATACTTGGATTTTTGTGCAAAGAGCCTGCACTGAAATTAATCTGATAGAAGAAAATAGTGATGTTTGGTTCTTGCTAAGAGGTAACTGGTTAAGCTGAGTAGCCATCTGAATTCAAAAGGCTCATGCTATGCAGGTCTGCATCTTTGATGTAGCAAAATAGATGCTTACTCCACATCCCTTTTCTCCCACACAGTCATATTCTCCTTTTCCCAGTGCAATCTTGATGGTCAGTGCTGTTCTTGTTAGCTACTGATGTCCTGTACTGTGGTGGCTTTCCATTCTAGCACTTTCTCTGCTGGACTCTGGCAGATTATATTAAAATTTATGCACTGCGGTTGACAGTCAGGACAAAATGTACCAGTGTCTATTGTCTGCTCTTCTGTGATGACTGCACTGATCAGACCCCTGTCTTTCATATGCCAGTTGAGGAAATGCCAAAATTATTGTAATGTAACATTCACATAACAAAACTTGCCAAATGAAATACAAATGAAAGATGTGGTATTGAGCACCAAGAAATGAATAAGAAGAAAAGGACAAGCTAACATGTTTGTTTGTTTTACATCTCAATTCAGATGTTTTTTTTAATCTTGTATAAGCATTTTACTGGAAGCTAGATTTTGATGCAAAAATTCTCTAGCACCTGAGTCCAAAACACAGCAGATGTTTCCCTAGTTGTAAGTTTGGTAATTTTGCATTCTTGAGATACTTGAACACTTAGGCTGAAAAGATGCTGATTAGTTTTTCTGTTTTGCAGTTCTCTTTTCCTTTCCCTTTTTTCCACATAGCTCAGTCCCAAACTTCCTGGCATATGGTGGTGGCTATTGCAACAGTTCGGTCTGGTTGCAAAAAGGCAACCTGACATCTTCGTGCAAAAGGACTTTGCTTTTCTCTTGTTGCCATCTAGTGTTGTAGACAGGAATTTAAACTGACACAGCTTATACAGGTATTGTACAAATTTGTTTTCACAGAACGTGTTTACTGTTTTTGAGGTAGGAGAGCAGAATTAATGAGGGCAACAGTAAAGCCACTTTGGGTTGGGAAGGAGAGCTCCTGTATCCACAACCAAATTCAAACGTCAACTTTGAAAGCATAAGAACAATAAGCCCAGTCTCTTTTTCACATTTAAAGGGTAGACAAGAGAGCAAGATTTTACCACTGATGCCAATCTGCTTTCATATTCTAAGAGAGGTCTAAATCATTTTTTGATTTTAAGAAGGCATTTTTGCACATTTCTCTCCGTCTGACCCAGAACTCTTATCAGTGCCCAGAGTTGTTGAATCTATCTCTTTATACCTCCAGGAGGCAGAGGTCAAGCTGATCTAAAAACTACACTATCAAAAATCTGAAAATGTCTGAAAGCACGGGAGCATTTCTTCAAGTCTCTAGGCATCCGATGTGCAGAGCCTTGGCAATGAGGTGCCTTCCTAGCCTGGAGCTGATCAGGACATTCTGCACCCACGAGACAGCCACCTTCTGCTAAGCAAAGATGTTTGTTCGGCATTCAAGTAGCAATACTGATCATGTGCTCCTGTGGAAATACTTCTGAATTCATTTTCCACCTCTGCTCAATGGGAGAGGGTTGCTGCGTTTTCTCAGAGCTAGAACCCTGCATTCAGCTCAACCCCAAAGCAGGAAGAGAGGACACTTTGCTTTATCTTCATATTTGCTTGTTTCTGAAATGGGCCAGCAGCCAATTTTGTCCTCACTGCAGCTTGGGCCAATATTGTGTTTCCTTAAATCACACCTTATTCAATCTAATAACAGCTGTTCAGTGAATAATCTTGCAAAGTGATGTCTTGGCACCTTGCCCTGTTCCCCCTCTCTCTGTGATTAATTGGTGCTTGGCTCATTCCTCACTCCTTTGCTAACAACATCTCCAGCATTGTTAAATGGGAAAAAACCAAACACAAAAGAGCTTTTCAACCTCTTTGTTCCTTTTCTTTTTTAATAGCTCTTTGTTTGTCTCTCCCCATACATTTGTATCCCCTTTCACTCACTGACAGTATTTGTTTAGTTTTAACTTGCCACTGCCTCCACTTGCAAACAAAAATAAACAAATGTATAATGACCATTGGATAAAGGTCCATAGTTACTGTAGCCATTGAGAAAACCAAGAGTTGTTCTTTGTGGAATATTTAGGTGAAAATTAAATGGCAAAACTCAAAATATCCCAGATGTTAGAAGAAATACTTAGGTTAAGCAGCAAAATATCTGAACTCAAAGTGCTGTTAAGTGTATAGTGGGTCCATAACCTTGTTACTCTCTACAAGTTAGGTTTTCCAAATGGCCTAAATCCAACACAGAATGTCTCTCTTATCAGTTGAGCAGTGACAAAGGGGAGTCCTGGTTTGTCTAGTTTATATTGCAAGGTGGAAGAGAAAGGCCAGAGCTTGACCTATAGCAGAGAATGGTGAGAGAATCTGAACAATAGCTCCAAGAAGCATCTTGAATCTAGGTCACACTTAAACTCTTACGGCCTTTAGGTGTGGATGAAATATGAACATTTTTCATTGGAAACAAATACTTGTGATTTTCCTCAAAAAGACAGAAAACCCCAGTGTTTTCTGTGAGTTCCAGTAGTCTGATCAGTGTCTCTCTGATATTTTGTTTCCTGGTGACTTTGAAAACCCTGTTCTTTGTGTCAGTGGGGATGCAAATCAGGGCTGAGATAATGGCTGTCATTTAAAAGTCTAAATACCCAACAGGTCTGGCATTTAGATGTCAAGACTTGATTCTAATTTGCAGTAAGGCCCTTTTAACTGCCTTTACCATATGTAGGGGTCCCTAAAATTGGAAGAAACTAAAATCATATTCACTTTAACACCCCTTCTGTAGTGCCAGAATGTTGGAAAATGTAGTAACATTGGCAATACATTAGAAAATCAGGCCCAGAGGAACTGCTGTTGAAACATTCACTGAAGTCTGGCATGGAGTATTGCGTTGTGGGAGCCAGGTATATCACTTATGTGCATTCTGTGTAATTAGACCAGATTTCATAGCTCTAGTTTAGAACTACCCTAGAGAGCATAACCTTAAGACAGAAACCTCTACAAAGCCTACTGACTTAAACTTTCTTTTGGCTATTTTACTGTTATGCAGCAGAATTCTAGGTTAAAAATAAAGAATAAAAATTAGAATCTTCCTCATGTTTTATGTCATATCAATATGAGCATCTGATTCAGCAGATGATTGCAGTTGGTTTGATATGTTTTACATGTGTTTAGTGCAAAACAAATAATCCACGGATAGATATGTAAAGTACAAAGATCAGTGTGTTTTTATCTGGCATCCAGATCACTCAGTTCAGGGAATTCATTAGCATTCTATTCATTCACTGTAACTAGCCTGATTCACAGTAGCTTGCAAACACAAGCCTTGCAAATGGATGAAAGAAAAAAAAAATTGTACCATATAAGTGAACAGTGTATAAGAGATTGGGAAAGTCTGTACTGACTGGCAATGACTGACCTGTGACACTCTTTGTGATTTTGGAGATTGCCTTAGGTGGTGGAGCTGGGAGCAATGGAGGGCTGGGAAGCTGCACTGGATTTCCTTCTGTCGGTTTCTGGGGAGAATCTGTGGTTTCAGGTGCAAGTAAGGCTTGTGGACTGTCTTCAGATGCTGGCAGACTGGCATCTTCCAATTCTTCCTTGGGTGCTGAAGGTTTCTTGGCTAGTAAGAAGATGAGTAAAATTAATGGAAAATGAAGTTAATAATACTGATCAGCCAGGAGACAATGCCAGGAACACTCAGAAGAACAGAACACATGGTACTCAGCTAGAAGCACTTCTTTACTGTGCCAAAAAAAATTGTTCTGTGAAATAGCCAAACAGCTGAGGCAGGTAAAGAATAAAATGTATGAGGATATTGAAGAAATGTTAGTTCTTATGCTCCTGAGAAAAATTTGTGAGCCTCCTTTACTCCCCATTCCTTCCCTAACGCCAATTTTCCTTTTCTCTTCTCAGTAACAAAGACAGCAAGGTAAAGCAACTTCTGAGAACTGCAATGGATTTTCTTACAGCAGTGCAGCTGCAGTGTTGTGGTGTTACTGGGTGACTCCTTGTCTGTGCTAGGAACGTGCCAGCAAAGGGCAAGGAGTACTAAACTTGTAATACTGCATGAAAGCTTGTTTTCCAGTTGTTCACAATATATTTTTTTCTTGATTAATACATTACATCAGCCTGCATCTTGCCATCTCTTACTGTACCTGACTCCAGAACTGATGAGTTTTTTCTGAAGATAAAGTTGGCAACCAAGAAAAGTCTGTCATAAAAAAAGATTTACCAGAGAATCTCAGCAGCTAGCATACAGCACAGAATGGGTGAAGTATTAAAAAAATGCAGTCACCAAAGCCATAATTTGAGATGGTGAAACAGCACTCATTTCAGGATTGTCCCCTGAAAGATGGCAAAAGCACCTAGCTTTTCCAGTTGGTAGAGGCTAAATGACTGAGCAGTTTGTTAAATTGGCCTGTCTGTGATAAGGGCGCAGGGAAATAGATCCCAAAAGGCATGAAACTGGAGGAGTACATAGGTGAAATTTCAGTGATTTAGTCTAAAATTAATATCTGATTCCAGCAGTGCTTAGACTTGTGCAATGATCTTTGTACTGGCATACGTGAGGACCCACAGGCAGGTCTGAGCAACTTGGGCAGTCCCTTCCAAACGATGCATCCTGACACCATGGGCTCAGTAGTAGCCATGAAAGTTGTTTGTCCCAGCCCAGCAGGTAAAGCACTGATCCAAATGGGGAGATAAGAGTTTCCCCTTAGCATGAGAGCTGTCCAGACTGTTTGGGCTGGAGAAATGGTAAATCCCCAACTTTTAGCAGCCTGGATTGTCTAAACAAAGTACATTTCCCTCCAAAGCATTCTAGACCATCTCCTAAAAACCCAGAGAAGTGGGTACTCACAGCTGCCACATCACAAACTTTTTCTTGGCTTGCTTTTTATGCCTTATTTGGAATACAAGCTCACACTCTCTCTCAGCATCCCGGTATTCAGAGTGCATGGGGAAGCACCAGAACAGTTGGAAACAATAGCATTGGCAAGATAATAGCATTTAATTTGTTGACTAACAGATGAATAAATGTGCCTAGAAGAGGAGGAATGAGTATTTGTCATTCAAGAATGACAGGAAATTAGAATAAATACACAAATGTGACTTGATAGGAAAGCCTCCTTATGTGATAGTTACCAAAATTACTAACTAATTTCCTTTTAAATATATATTTATAGGGAAATGCTTTGTTCTAGGCTGACATCAGTTTGTATTTTTATTCCTACAAGTATGGAAGACGTGAAATAGGAAAGAAAAATTGAGGAAGAAAGATGGTACTGGCTTGCCAAGACAATCAGTCATATTTGGATGCTTTTCCTTGAGTTGAATGGTACTTTCTTCTGGCAGTAATTTCACTCCCTGTGATATGAGAGGATGCTCAGTGCAAGTGCAGTGAGCAGCCACAGTGGGTCTATGCAGGTAGGGAAGGTGGACCTGAAAAATGCTCAGCCTCAAACACACCTTCTGAACTTGATTGTATTCAGAGTGGTATCACAGAAATATCATGTACTGTTGTCTAAAAATGATTTAATGGCCCCAGAAAAGAAAGCTTTGCTTCTGTTTTTTTGTTTGTTTGTTTCTGTTTTTTGTTTTTCTTTCTGTCATTGTTTTTGTTAATAACAGCATGTTTGAGTCAGAGTCTGAAGGCAGACCTGAGTCTTGAGCACACAAACCTATTAACAGATTTCATACTGCAGAGTGAACATTTCCTGCTGAAAATAGTCCAAGGGCTCAAGACTCCTTGGCAGAGTAGACAATTACTTATGGAGAGCCACTGGTCAAAATGCCACCTTGCTACTAGGTAAAAATCTTTCCCTTGAGCTTGTCCCCACACCCACTGGCTGGGTTACGTGGGCCAAGCTGCCCTACTTCTGCCTAAGGAGTTAATTGTCTGTTTATTAAACAAACATGAGCTCTACAAAAGTTTCCTCATAGTCCTGTCCTTGACCTTCATTCCATAACCTGAGGATGAAAAGCTGTCTGTCAGGAAGTCAGTGGAACACCCTGCAGCTGTCCCTCACCACTCCTGTTTGCCAAAGCACAGTTCCACAAGAAGGACTTGGTTTAGCTTATCTGTACTTGCAGCATTGAGCTGCACTTGTGTTTGCAGGGTGATGACGTAGATAGAAGTTGTGCACTGAATGTTGTTCCTCAAGCCAGGACAGACAACTTCAGCCTTGGCAGAGAAGTCTGAGAAATTTTTTTTTGAGAGAAACTTGTTTCATGTTCACAGCAGTCACTGCTAATTCCAAAAGAGCACCATGCCAAGACTGGATTGTCTCATAATCCAACTAATCCCATTATGTGAAGATTTGTGTGGTCCCTCAGTTTGGTAGCAGTCTCAAAATCACTGTTATAAAAAATAACGAGTGCTAACTCAGTATGTGGCTGCTGAGCTGAATGAGGTGTTCTGGCTGTCCACCACACTAACATATTTGACTCCTCATGCAGCTGCTGAGCAGAAATGTCTTTTAACGTCTTATTATATTTTGAAACATTTTTATTCAATACCTGCATCTTCTTTCAGCTCATCCAAATGCAGCTCTTCACTAAGTGAGGTTACATCTGTCGTGGCTGCTGTTGTACTCTCTTGCTGCATCTCTTCAGAGTCGAGTGCCTGGCACACGGGCACACAAGCTGGAGTGTCACTCTGTTTTGCTCTTGTGGTATCATCACCAGTGCAGGCTTTTCCTTCAGTATCTACAACACCAAATCATTTATTCTTAATTAAACGATGAGCAGTGAAAGCTGAACCTCCCTGCTATCCTCTTTAGCAGAGTGAGTCTCAAAGCTGTAGTAATTTCAGAGTAGTCAGGGTCTGAGGTTTCTTTTAGAGAAGCACTTGATTTCTGAAAGTACTGAGCATCTGTAAGGTAAAACTCATGGATACCAGCCCATCTGGACACTAACATCCACCCAATTTTCTAGACATCTTTTTCTGTGCGTGTCCAGCAACCTGGTTAATTAGGCACTGTACATATACAGGGAGAACACTGTGCTTTGGAAGCACCTGCTGTGTGGAAGATAAGCATGAACATGGGAGATCAAAGGGCTCTGGAGGGAGGCAATTCCTTCTCTGAGCAGAGCTCACAGTGCAGCATGAGCACAGGTTGCTGTGACATGTCAGGGTCATGCCAGGCTCCATGTGCAGGACACTGCTGTCCAGCTGCCCAGCAGTAATGCTGGCAGGACTGCTAGTATTCTCTACCCAGCTGTAGATTTTGGGCACAGCATTGGATACTCAGCTTCAAAAAGCATGTCTTGTATAATTGAGCTGATCAGGTATTCAAATCCCTCCTCATGCAGACCTAGAAACTGCTCTCTTTGCTTACTCTGAAAGATTTCTGTGCCAGTGATCCCTGCAGCTGTATGCATCTTGATGACTGAAGCTTTTCTTGTATTCCCTTATTCAAGCAAGAATCCTCAGAATACAAACTATCCTTTTACTGCCCAACTCTCAGAAATTCACAAGATCAACGTCACCATTGCAAAGCAAAGCAATTACTTCCCACTCTTGCCATCTGTCCATGCTGATGGACATTCCTGCTGTCCACCCCTGACTTCTAAATCGTATTTCTCAGCCCTAATACCCTCCTTTCTGGAAGCCCCTGACAGGGCTGTTTCCTTGCAATGATGTCATGGCAGGTTTCTTCAACATTGATTGAAAACCAGCTAGCACTCACAGCTATCCCTTTTTAATACAATTAGGACAATCTGCAGAATAATTTATTGCCCTTTAGGGTAAGGGTATCAGATTTTGGCCCAGAGATGCTGCGGAATGGATGCAGCATTTTTGTACACTGAGCTCAGTCTGCCTCATAATCACGTTTGGTGAAAAGTTACTGTTCTTAAAATAGTCCCTGCAGTAGCACAGTTGCTATGATACAGGGAAGGGGAGGGGGAAAAAGTTCATTGCCTACATTTCAGCTCATTGGGAAGGCAGCCTATACATAATCATTGGTGTATTAACAGCTGCCTCTGTTACTTGACAGGCAGCCCTTACCTCCCATTGCTGTAAGCAGAGCTCCACCTGGTTCGTTTTGTGCTCACAAAGGGGAGAAATACTGGGGGAAGTTCCCTCAGTGTTTTCAAGGTAACTCTGCTTCACACGTTTCTCACATCCTTCAGAAAGGCAGGCTGCTGACAGCTGTGCCACAATAGAGCTGCAGACAGAGACATGAGCTCCTTCAGATCCTGGCCGATGAGAATGTAATGACTAACGGAGTATTGACAAGGAGACAGCCTTGCTGAAGAATTTCTATTGAGGAACATCTGAAACTCAGAGAAGTGATGCTCCTTGTCAGAAATGAGCAGCTTGTGCATAGAGCAAAGTGGACTTTCTGCTTTGATTGGCAGTGGTTCCCAACACAGTGGTTTAGACAAAGTCTGAGGATGGGAGAAAGCACATATCCTGGTACAGAAAGCAGCAGAGTCTTGGGAATTGCAAAGTAACCAGAAGAATCGGGGCTGTGATTTATCTGGGAAAGAATCCCACTGTGTGCAGGACCTGTACCCTGTAAGCTACAGTGAAGCTGTATGGCAGGTTCAGGAGGTTCCAAGGGCAGCTTGGTATTTGTCATGTATGAGCAGAGTGGCATGTATGAGCCACAGATTTGGCTGTGCAGCATGGCTGGGCAGCTGCGTTTTGGGGTTGTGCGAGGAGACAGGGTGACATAACCTGTTAGGATGACTCATCCCCAAAGCAAGGATGGCACAACTTCACCCTGGGCTGCTCGCAGATTGATGCAAAGTCTGTGCTAGCTCAGTGGCTTGCTCTGAGCCAGCAGTATGGTCCAAAATGCTGCCTGACAGACCTTATGCTGTGAAGCTGGAGCGTGACGTTGTAACTGCATGAAGCAGATCTACAGATTTCTCAGACTAGAGCTTCATCATGGTTCAGACTGATTATGAAAGTGAGCAGTAACCATGTATCTAGAAGAAGAGTAGAGCCTGATGAAATAGAGAGATTTAAGGATTTACAGCAGTCTTTTTAGCTTAGTACTGCTGCTCTGGCAATTGCAACTTACTGCATAAATGAGGACTTAGCCTTGAAACTGCTGCCACTTCAGCTCAGTCCAAGTAGGGCACTAATCATTTACTGAGAATTATGTGGGTCAATTTTTGATACCGGTTAATAAGCTACTTCTGCTGATAATATAATAAAATAACCCTGGAGATTCACAGCACTCTGTGTAAAGAAAAATAACTTGGAGGCTGCTGCAGTGTCCTTCAGCTGACTGTTAGCTGCTCTTCCTTTCTGGGCACAGGGTGGTACTGTAAGCTGGTTTGGTGTTTAGAGGAGCTCTGTGCTTTGCTGTTTTATTTACTGCTGTTTTGCAATGCTCAGATATCCATGATTTCAAATTCATAGGTTATGGGGAAATTCAATACTCCCAGCAGATACAGGGTGTATTCTTTTCTATCAGGTGGTGCTGATATGCTGATAGGACGACTAGTTTGCAGAATGAGAGACAGAAAGCTCAAGGGAAAGGCATTAAAAATGTGCCTTCTAAAACTGCCCCTTTTAGAATAAGCTGATGGTTTGATAGGTATTGTAACTTGAACATATTAATCCATGTTAAAATATATCCAATAAAATAATATGATAATTGCTTTAATGCAATGAAAAAAAAGTCCTGTTTAAAATACTCTTTTTTTTTTTCTGACTCTTCTGTTGCTCGGTTACACGCCAGCATAGCATCACTGCGTGCTGTCCCACAGGCTATTTATAGTCACAGCATTTGTTTCATACAATGGAACTCAATTATTACTTTCAAAGAACATCATTCCTATCTACCAGATTGGTCAAACTCAAAAGGCTGATCTTTCCTCAGTACAATGCTTTCTGCTAGTAAGTTTTCAAAGCAAAGAGGATTTTATTTTTTTTTAATCTATGTTTACATGGAAAGGGCAATTGGGATGCTGTCCAAAACACACGGAGCTCACTTGGTCTTGCGGAATAGTCACCCAGGTAGCCACCCAGATCCCTTAACCATCTGCTAGGGCTTGGAAACAGTGATACACAGAACCACAGTCCTTTGTGCATATCTTTCATTCAGTGACCTCTACTGAATCTGGTTTGTATTTGGAATGGCTTTAAAATGACACTACTATCAAATGCTTCACTTTTGCACGTGAATGGAAAACCAGAAAGGCAGCTGAAAAACATCACATTAGTATCATTTTATGAGATTGGGAGTCATGGACTGTACTTTTAAGCTTCCCTGCTGAATGCATCTGTTATGTTTCAGTTTGTATTTGCACCAGTTGTAGCTGACTTTCTTGGCAGTTGGATTTAGCTGGGTTTAGAGCAATTGCATAAAATACATCCACCAGCTCAGACTCACAACATGTATAAATCCAGCCAAGCTGGAACTGCATTCAAGGTGGAAAAAACATCAAAAAATTAAACTGTATGGGCTGCTTGGAACAGGGAGAGATTTAAAAAAAATACAAAAACTAACAGCCTAATACTGATTTTTTTTTTCTGCTTGTACTAAAGGTTTTCTTTTTTATACGCTTGATTGTTTGATTGTTGAATTTTTACTTACCCTGTTCCATCATTTCCAGAAGGCCTTTCTTAATGAGTTCATCCCGACCTTGTCGTGCTGTCATTTTCTTCTCCAGCACTGCAAGAAGTAGTAGCATGATACAGCACCAGCTTACAGTGGAGTATTCCATACCTGACTGAGAGAACTGCAATGTGGTATTTCTCTCTAGTCTTAAGTGCTGTGTGCTTGGAAAGAAATGCAAGGAATTTGGGGGGAACTTGGACCAGTCAGCCAATTTTGTACTTTTTCCTTTGTTAAAACAGTAAAATCAAACACACAGAGTTGAGATTTATGATCTAAGATGCTGCTGATCACCCTGAGAGCAGAATAGCAGTGGTGTTAGAGCCTTGTGCTGTTTGGTACGGTGTATTGGAGCTGCTGCAGGAGGTGGTGTCCCTCACTGTGACACTCCAGAGGGTATCAGAAAAGTGGAGGAAACTGCACCATCTTCTCTGAGGAAAAAGCAGGCAAGTTTGTCTCCTTACTGATCTGAGACACACCTGGTTAGTAGTGAGAGTGTGCAGTGCATGTGCTGGGCTTCTCTACTGCAGGCAGCTGCTTGAGGGAAGGCATTTTGCATGCTGTAGTTCCCTCCTGTCACTTCTCATGATGTTATTGTGACCTATATAATCTTCACCCCAAACAAAATGGGTGATGATGCCTGGGGACATAAATGTAGTCTATTTGGAGAAATGACACTCCATGAAAGCAGTCTATGTCAAGGTTTGTGCTTCACTCATATTTTTAGGTTTTCTTCTAAATGTATGACATTGTACTATACAGGAAGCCTGCATATGAGTGTTTTCTAGTTTTAAATGTTATAAATCTATAACATGTTGAGATCTCCAAATTAGATTTAGATCAGGTCATCACCAGTATTTCTGTGCAAGCACATTTCTCCCAAGCTGAGCTTTGCTTCGTGCAGTGTCAGACTGCTCTCATCGTACCTGCAGAGGTCTGCTTTAACTTCTCATTTTTCTTTTTCCGCCACTTCCAGGGTTTGAAGATCCTGCCCAGTGTTGCCAGTTTGCTGTTTCTCCTCACTGGTGGAGTTCTAATCCCTGAGACCAAGTAGTCAGAACGCACTGCAGGAGACTGCTCCATCTCATCTGAGAAGGGAAATGAGAGGAAAGCCAGCAGTTAGACCAAGTGCTTCAGCATAGACTTAAAAAGGGGACGTGAATGGAGGCTCCCCAGCTAACAAGTGTTTGGTCTTGTCTGCTGCTTCCTACCAGTGTCTTTCCAGGCTGTGGACTTTCACAGTACCTGTCTGGATGCCAAATACTTGAGCATCTCCACTGCTGCCTTCTCTCAGGGATCTATCAATGCTATTAGGTGCGTGGAGAGGAAGATGTGCTAAATTTGTACACCCTATGCTTTATTCCATCTCTTTCCTGACTTTGATTCAGCAAGGGAATGGTGTTACTCTCTGTCCCAAGGGCTGTGTAACTCTGCGTTACAGCCTTTTGAAACATGGAGAGCTGGGTACTCCCAAGAGCTTTAGCAGTAGAAATTTAACACATATGCAAATTGGGCCCACACAGGCTCCAGTTAATCAAACAAATGTAATGTTCATTTAGAAAAATTTAGACCTTTATGAAGAGCTAAAGAGGGTGTGAGAAAGCTCAGTCCTGCCTGAAAACCCAGCTGCCAGTTCTGCTCTCAGGCCACAGGATATTGCTGTCTTCTACATGAATTCTCTTCACAAAAGCTAACACAGAACACACTGACTTGTATGAGCTAATGCTTTTATATAAGAATAGTTTGATATATGCTACGTAAATAAAATCTTGAAGCTATTGTGCAAATTTATTCCTTGAGGAAGTTAAAGGGAAATTTCTTTCCCTTTCGTCCTGCCAAGCCACAGGAATTCACACATAACATTTTGGCTGGAAAAGCAATTTAAGTATTTTTAATATTTTGTCTTGAAAATGCACTCAAGATTTTGCTGTGTGAAATGATGTGTACTGACTGTTCATAGTTGAGTGCTGGCCCATACCATGAAACAAAGTAGCACAGGTCCATAAATGGGGTTATTGATGGCTTCATTAAGATTTGTATTTGAGCACCAGTATAGTGGTTGTTGAATGAGAAGCTGCCATCAGTCATCAGATGTGGTACATAAATATAAACTGAATGACAGTTTGTTGTTGAGTAATAACATACGATCTAAATAAGCAACGTGGAGCTATGAACATATGCACATTTCCAAGAAATTTCTCTCTGAAAAAACATTTATTATAAATTGCTTTATGACTGTAAGACAAAAACTATACAGTATCATCTAGGTTTTGTTTTTAAGTTAACGGGGTGAACGTGTTTAAATCTCAGTATGGAGGTGGGGATTTCCAAGTAAACAGGAAACAATTTCTGGAAGATTATTAAACCCAGCAGGGGAATGAACACATTCCTCCTCTTCCATTTAATTTTGAAAATACTGGTAATAGAGATGAATCATTCAGTGGAGAAAAATTGAAAACTTGGCCACGGACACTATCAGAACAAAGAAGAGGCTGTAGAAATTTTTTTGCTCCTCTCACTGAATTTGTCCTGTGGATTCTCCTTCTATGTTTGGGGTTTTAATTTATAATAGATTTGGAAGGTACATATAAATATATTTCTGTTTTTGAAAGAATGATGTCCAAGGTGACAGTTATGGTTTAGTTTGGAGGTCAATTTTAAGAAGCTGAAAACAGAAACTAGCACTGAGCCTAGCACAGAGGGAGGCCAGTAGCCTACAGACCACAGCTAGAGTGCCAAAAGTTATCATACTTATTTCTAATTGCACATTCAAAATTGAGAAGTGTCACGGAAAAAGCTTTGAAGAAGTAGAGTTGCTCTTCATTACAGAGACGGCAATGAGAATGGAAAATGACAGAGTAGATCTGCTATTAATTTGCTATTATGATTACTTTAAGGCTGTAATAGAAGCCTCGGAAAAAAACATTTGGCCATTGCTTGTGACATCCCTTGAGTGGGAATGGAACTGTTCACAAAATTAGCTCATCTCAGAAGAGCTGTACATCAGACTAAACCTGATCCTTGTCTTTGGAAGCTTCTGCAGTGGAGCAGGACAGCCTGAGCTCAGCCATCCCTGTCTGTGTTTGTGAGGCTGCTTCATGAACATCTCCTGTCATCCCATGAATTTCTCGAGCATATGAGTGAAGATTAAATGAAAAGCTCATTTAAAGCAGTATTTTGGCAAGTTGCTGCTTCTGCTGCATTTCATTCAGATGTAGATGCCTGCAAAGTGATTTAGGCATTATCCACGTGTTTTATTGAACGCTGGCAGCATGAGATCACTTTACCATTTTTGCCAGATAGCAGGGGATTTAATCAGAACCAGGAAGTCATTCAAACCCAAAGCCATACATCTGTAGCAGTGTTTCTTATCCCAGATATTTCCCTAAGAAAGATGATGGGGAGGTATTGCAAAGGCACTAAGCATTCCCTAAATGCCCTGCCACCTCAGTGCTCCTGTCGTTTTCATCAGTCCTGTAGATGTTTTTTTTTCCATCACCTTCTGCCCTTCTGGGACTGGAAATGTAACTATTTATGCTTTAGACTTGTTACAAATGAAATACAGATAAAAATCAAACATTCCAGTGGAGATCTTCGTGTTTTGTTGTTGTTGTTTTGTTTTTCTTAGCTTATTAAAGCTTTCTCATACAATGAGAACAGTTCTTAAGCAAATGGTTGTATCACCTTGTACATTTGCACCATATGCAGTTCCTTCAGTGTACATTTGGAAACATAGATGAAGGCATAGCAAGTCATATGTCTTGAAGTCATAAATAACAAGAGAGTGGTCTCACTAGCACTAAGAATCACAAGAAAGTCCTTGGAGTTTCTCATTTCCAGTTAGTTCATTTCTTTGTGCATGTAGGTTGGCTTCTTGTGAAACAAGAAGTTGACAGCACAAAAAGCAGTTCCCACGTACAGCAATGAATGCTGAAGGTGCAGGCGCATCTAAATATCAGCCAGCTCCCACAGCCAACAAGCTGCCAAGACTTGCCAACCCTCCAACCACTCTGTGAAGTATTCAGCACATTTTTTAAACTGCAGTCAGTATTTTAATTATGCTATGTTCTGTGGAATAATGTGGTTATTCCTTCCAGAGCCTGATAGCCTGGGGCCAGGCCATGCAATTACATGGAGGATGTCTGAGAAATATAAACAGCCAAGAATCAAATCAGGGCTCTCTGAATCAGCAGTGTAAATGAGCAACAGCTTAACTTGATGTGCAATTTAGGATGAGGGGCACTTGTTGTACAGGGCTGAGTGAGCATGAGTTTAACCCACACTCAGTCCACATCAGCCCAACTCTACCCAGCACAGGGAGGCTAGGTTCTGCTTGGCCATTTCTGCTGTGACAGACCAGCTGGCCGCAGCAGTTTGCTCTGACTGGAGCTTGTTGGCTTTTTCTATTGAAATTGGTTGAAGTCCCTGCTGTATCCTGTTGAGGGCAAAAGTTTCTGTGCCGGAGATCCACATCCAAAGCTCCTCATGTATCATATACTTTTCATCTGCTTTGTGTGTATCAAAGGGATGGAGATGAATGTGGCTGTGCTGTGTGCTCCTACTGATGTTGAGTCTAACTTACTGTTGTTTTTGTGGGTTTTTTTTCTATGATAATCCAAAGATACAGTAGAATTATGCCTGATTACAGCAACTGCAGGCTGATGCATGGCAGTTGGGCACACCAGGAATGCAGAGCTGAGGTATTCTGAAGGTGTACTGACCTTGCCATGGAGAAGTGCTGTGAGACTCTTGGGAAATCTTCTTGTGAATGCACAAATTGCACCAAGAAGTTTATGGGAAGGTGAAGGATGATAAATTTTAATATGCTGGGAATTTGGTAACTTCAGTTTGCAGCAAGTTGTGCTTTTCTAAATCCTCTATGTATACTTTTAGGAGAAGGGCTTCTCAAAAATCTGCAACCTGCAGGCAGTTTAAAAATAACACAGCAGACAAGAGCTGCAGGCAAATTTGTAAAGCAGGCGTGCTATGTTTTCTGATGAATTGGTTTGTAATGCAGCTCTCCATGTTTGTCCCTTTGTTGTTACTGCATCCATCTTTGCAACCCAGATAGAGAGTTAAAAAAAGGAAAAAGAGGTTCCCTTTGGTCCTCTCCAGAGGGCAGGGACAGTGAGTGGAATAAAAATTACCTCTTAGCTTTGGGGATAGAAGTTTCTTTGCCACTGTTAACTTCAGTGCTGCCTAGAATTACTGTCTGCTTCTAGAAACGATACAAAGGAGAATGCCACAGGGAAAGTCAAGCTTTTAAAGGACTCGTGTCTACTTCTGGTCAGTCCTGAATTGTGCAACCCAGACACCAGAGATCTTAGCCAAGAAACAGCAATTCTCTATGAAGGACACTCTATACAGAAGGTACTTTATATCTACTGAGAGAAGCTTGTGAGAAGGCAGAAAGTTTGTCTTGGTTTTAAAGTAAAATGCCGAGCTTTGGGAACAAGCAGCAGGAAGACCCCCTTTTCCTTAGTTCAGCAACCTAAATGCAGACAGAACTGAGCATGATGATTGGGACTACAAGACAGGGGTAAATTGTTTGTCTGGAGCCTTTCGACACTTGTTATGTTCCAGAAATGCAGAACTCTTACTGAAGAGTTTTTTTTATTGCACTGCTTACGTGTTTCCTGTGATGGAGCTCTTCCTTGTTCTGAAAATGTTTTCTGTCACCCGTGTTCTGCAGACATGCTTTCTTTCTTAACTCTCTTTGAAAGAAAACTGCAGTAGAATGTTCCAGTTTGAGTTTCTATTTCAGTTTTTTGAACATACAGTGTTTTGATTTTCCAATTTGTAATGACTACTAGGAATGAAAATTAGTAATGAAAAAAAAAAGCTTTTTTATAAACCAGAAGCATATTTAATTGTTGAAGGATTTCACTTGTATTTGGATCTGTGAATGTTTTGGTTATTTTGGAAAAATTTACACTAAATATTTTGTGAAATGAAAAGCCCTGTTCCTGACAGTTTAGTTATTTAGGAAAGACAAAGTACCTGTAGTACATTATTAAATGCAATCATAAACTAATTTGGAATATACAACTGCTGACATGAAATAGATTGCTTCTCTGATGCATCATGT